TGCTCCCTCTGCTGATTTTATCATATTGGTGAACTCACCCTCTCCTCCTGTTCACACATCCGACAGTCCCAGAGTTTAAACTTGTTGCTCACTATGGTGAGAGGTGAGAAGACAATTTCAAAGAACCAAATAAGATACTCATGGGATGTTCTATTTCTGATTTGAATCTTCAAATCCATTCATAAGAATTCCCCAAATCAGATGAAATCTATGAGAAAGGCAAAATATATACAATAAAATCAATTTTATCTTTTAGACTATTTTAGTACCATTCAGAGCATTAAGGGTGCCTATGTAGCTCATGGGCTCATTCTTGTTCTATTATTTTCTAGTGATTTTTGCTGGTGTCCTCAGCAATGCCCTGGGTTCCTTAGAAGCAATTCTAAACATGACTTTAATTTTTGAAAGTGTTCAAGCATTTGAAAGTTCAGTATTGGGTGGGGGTGGAGTTTCAACAGAATCACTTGCTATTATAAAGGATATTTTTAAAAATTACTTTGAACTGGAAATATCCATACTGAAATCTACATATGATTTAGATTCTTGAATTTTGTTTTTGTTTGCTTTCCAAATGGACTTTGTTATTCCTGATACATGCTACCTGGGAAAATATTTCTTTTTTACCTTGTTTTAGGGTTTTAAAAGCTTTTATCTTTAAAAGTTTTTAAAACCTTAAATTTAAAATCTTAAATTTCATCTACAGTTATCTTTATGCAGCATGAACTTCATGGTTTTGATAATATCCAAAATCCCAGTTTGTAAAAAAGCAAAAAGCAAGTTTCCTACTTACATATTTTTTTTCAGTGACACATCATAGGGTTAAGAATTATTAAATCTGTGAATTGTTTCTATTTTAATTAATTGCCTTTTAACTGATTTTTAAAATCAGTTAAAAATAGGGTTTTTTCTCAAAATTATTCAAATATATTACAAAACAGAAAGAATTTGGGATTTTTGTTTTCATGTGATTGACTTTTGGGAAATAGTATCACAATCCAAGATAGAGCAGTTATTTTAAAACTCACAACAGATTTCCCCCCTGGTGAACATAAGGTTATGGTATATTTGCCAAAAGGAGCACTACTTTCTGAAACTTCAGATTTCACTTACTCTCAACTTTGATTTAGACAGGAATTGTAATGTTAAATTATTATTTTTGAAATCTCAATACACATTTTCCCTCTAGTTGTTCAAAGGGATGGCTTGACATACAGCGTTTTTCATTTGTTTTTTAAAAATCTTATTTTACAATCATTTACTAATTCAACTTCAAGGGTGGAATTCACCAATCCTTTTAAATTAGCGATGGGTAACTAGAGATTGATAGCTAAATTTGAATGTGTTCCTTCACGACAAATTTATTTGCAGGATTTTTTAGAGGCAATCCCCAATTTTTAGAGGATGTTTATTACACGAGTCTATAAGTTTACGTTTCCAAGTTGGTACACACAAACCAAGAGCCAACGGAAACAGGAGGAAATCCTGTTCCAGGTTTTCGGGCAGCTGGTGTGATTGACACATGATATCACTGGGGGCGTGTCTTGGAGTGGAGGTGGAGGTGGCCGCGAGGAGCTGAAATGCTGCAGAGCAGGAGTGGGATCGCTCTGTAAGGCACACAGTGGTTTGCGGAGCGATAGCAGCGGACCCAGCTCCCTGCCCCGGATAAGGAACAGCTGCAGACGCTGCAAATGTGCGTGAAAAGCAATTTCCAATCTTTGCATTAGGTAAGAACTGTTTCCTTCCTTTCCTTCGTAGACATTTTAGGAAAGATAAGGTGAGAAATGTCGGTTTTTGCAAGGAAGAGAACATTTCTTTGAACTTGCTCTAGAGCTGAGATTACTGGCTGCATTTCAAAACACCGGCAGCGTTCCCACTACTGAACGCTCTTAAAAGTCCACCGCTAAAAGAAAAAGCAGGGTCCCTTTCACTTCCCCCCTTAACCGAACAGCAACAAGTTTAACCTCTGGGACTGTCGATGTGTGAAACAGGCCGTTTGTACCGAAGAGGGGCTGGACCAAACGTGGGTCTGTTTAGGCATTGTTGGCGACCGAATCCGAGCGAAGCCGGGTTCAAACCTGCGTTTCTTTCTGCGTGCCGAGTCCCTGCGCGCACAGGCGCTGCTTGACGTTGGTTGAACTCCTGGGCATTCCAAGGGGCAAAAGCACTTCAGCAAAACGTGCACGGCTGCATGTTACCCGGGCTCGCTGCTGACACGCGACTGCGCCGGCCTGTCAATCACCGGGCGCGGGCACATGGCTGGGCTGCGGGCGCGGGCAAGCTGGCCGGCGGCGGGCGCGCGGCGCGTCCCAGGGCCCGGAGAGAAGGGAGACTGACGTGTTTCTCTGTGATCATCTGTGGCAGGCGTTTCGCCGTGGAACCGGAGGGGCGGAGGACTGGAAGTGAGCGCTGCCCAGGAGAGGCTGACCTGCCGGGACCGCGGCTCCCGGGACGCGGCGCCCACTGCCCAGCGTGCGGGATCGGCGGAGCGCCTCGGCCTGCGCGGGGACCAGGACGACGTCCGTCCACCTCGCCCTGAGAAGGACCCCGAACTTCGCTCCTTTCGCCCCCCAGAGGCGGGTGGGAGCCCCTCCCCCACCGGCCTCGGCCCGCCGAGCCCGCGACGTGGATCCACTCGTCCGGAGCCGCCCCTGCCTGCCTGCCCCGCGGGGAGCGGAGGGAGCCGCGCGGCGCCCGGCGCGCACGCCTCCCCGCCGCGCGGCAGCTCGCGTTCCCGAGGCTCGGAGAGCGCGAGCGAAGGGACTTCCTCAGCTGGTTCCCGGAGGGGGCTGCAGGAGAGGAGCCCCAGGTGGATGCTGCTGAGCCGCGGGGCGCACGCGAGCCGGGAGAGGTCGCGGGAGAGCCGCGCGCGGCGGCCGGAAGGGGGCCGCGGGGCGCTCGGCAGGACGGCGGGGGCGGGCCGACGCACCGCGGCTCGGGCTATGCCCCCGCGTCCTCCCCGCCGCGGTTGATGCCGCGCCGCCCGCTGCCCGCACCGGGACCCGGGCCGGGCCGCACGGCGAGGGCCCCCGCCGCCGCTCCGGCCTGGGTGAGTGTGCGGCAGGTGCGGGGCGGGACGGGACCGGGGCGGGCGGAGGGCCGTGTCCGCAGCGGGCGCCGCGCGTGTCGGGGCGGCCCGGAGCGCGCCGCGGCCCTGGGCGCCCCGGGTGCTGCGCGCGGCGCGGGCGCGGCGGGAGAGGGCGCTGCCACTTTAAAAGCCGCGGCCGCCCCGCGAGGCGGGGGCCTCGCCCCCCTGGAGAGCTTGTTTTCATTCATAACTTTTTCCCCTCCGTCCTCCGCGGCGACTATTTATTCGCGCTGCCTGCGGAGGAGCGCAGAGGGCGCGCGCCCGGGAAGCGGGTCTGGGGCCTGGGGACGAGGCCGGCGCTGCGAGCCGTGGGAAGCCGGCGCCGGCGCCGTGGGCAGTGCGAGGAGGTACGCGGTCCCCGGTCCGAGGGCGCCTCCCGCGCCCCGGCCCTGCCCGCCGGTGCCCTTGGCCCGCGGCGTGGGTCGGCCCCAGCCCCGGGGACCTGCGCTGGGGTGCGGGTCGCGCCGCGGGGGGCCTTGCGGGCAGTCGGTTCTTAAAGCGCCCCTTGCCTGGGGAGGGCCGGGCCTCGGCGCGTCTGGTGGGCTGGAGTAAGAGCCGGTCTTAACAGCCCTTAAGGACTCGACCAAACCCCGCGTGGTGACTGTTTCTCGCCGCGTGCAGGAAGGTAAAAGTAGTGGGCGCTGGAGAAGTGAACCTGGAGGAGAGTCCAGGGACGCTCAGTGCAGGCGCTTGGTTCCGCTTTATTCCTTAAGATGGGGTTTGGGGCATAGGGCAGTAGTGATAAGGGGCATTTTCCCCTTTCGGTCTTGATTTGGATTGCATCTGTAGACTCTGCAGAGAATATGTGTGAAATATAGTTTGCCATTGACTGGAAATGGGAACGTTTTTATATCTGGTAGTTTGTTTTATGAAGATTACATCACAACTTAGAAATATGTCACTGTGAGCCTGGAAACACAAATGCCTATTTTGATCAGGATATTAGTATACTTATTACAAGAAGCACGACGACTCAGAGTTGGCAGTGCTTTAAAGATCAAGGTCTGTCATGTAAACACATATTTTTAAATTAAAGGAAATTCGGGTAATATTTTAATTACTCAGGATTTCCCCACCCTGCTTGAAAGCCTGACACTTCTGCATAAAAGTTATCTTGTTACGTGACTGAGCTCTTGTTGAAGCTTTTAAAGAAGTCGGATGTGAATACTCTGTTACAGTAGTGACAGAATGGTGTGTGTGTGTTAGTGACTGTTAACACACCAAGAACTCTTGTGCTTCTTATCCTTTATTGTGCATCTCACAGATCAGTAATGAGGTAGCCTTTGATTTCTGATTTCTACTAAGCATGACCGCTTATTCCGATATTCCATTTTAGTTTGGAATAGCTTGAGCTTTTTGGAAAATGCTTTCCTTAATTTCCTTTAATCTAAAGCATGTAATAGCATACAGCCAACAAAAGGCCTGGGCACCCATGTCATTCTTGATTTTTAAGATGTAGTAGACATTTCCTTTATGCAAACCACCAGTGAACTGACACTCAGCTTTCTCTAGACGAGAGCTCTCCCAGAGTTTGTGCCCAGTATTCTACACCAAGGCAAATTTCATTTTAATTTTTGTTAGATACACAAACAGGAAGACGTTACTTCCTCTTGACTCTGCTTTTTTAAAGCTGGAAAAACGTCTGATTTTTATAGCATGGGGTCTCTTGCTTATATTCCCCTATGATGTGTCCATAGCCTCTCGGAATTGGATGCTGGTCAGGACCCCAGCATTATTGTATAAGGAGACCATTACCAGGTGGTTTAGGCACTTTGTGACTTGACAGGACCTCCCTCCCCCAACAAACGCTTCCTGTCGGTTTATTTTCTCTTTTTCCTTAATTTTCCGTTTCTTTTCTAGGACTTCAGATGCATGCCAGGTTTCCACTGACTGCAACAATCCAAGGTCCCCACACATGGAGCCCCCAAATCAGCATGGCAGTGGAATTTCGTTAGTTGTGACCCAGCAGCCTTCTTTGGATGGCCGTCAGAGGACAGACAATGAGAGAGAGATTCCGCCTGCTGCTATTTTGTCCCTAGACCAGATCAAGGCCATCAGAGGCAGCAATGAGTACACAGAAGGGCCTTCGGTGGTGAAGAGACCTGCTCCTCGGACAGCACCCAGACCAGAAAAGCAGGAGAGGACGCACGAAATCATACCAGTCAATGTGAATAATGGCTACGACCAGAGACCCTCCAGCCACCTGGGCCCCGCGGGACCCCCGAGCAGTGCCCGGGGCCCGGTTCTGAGCAGGTCCACCAGCACTGGCAGTGCAGCCAGCTCTGGCAGCAGCAGCAGCAGCAGCGCCTCCTCGGAGCAGGGGCTGTTGGGACGCTCCCCGCCAACCAGGCCTGGCCCTGCTCAGAGGTCCGAGAGGGCGGTCCGGACCCAGCCCAAACAACTGACTGTGGATGACCTGAAGGGTTCCTCGAAAGAGGACCCGGCCCAGCACAAGTTCATCTGCGAGCGGTGCCGGAAGTGCAAGTGCGGGGAGTGCACGGCGCCCCGGACCCTGCCCTCCTGCCTGGCCTGCAACCGGCAGTGCCTGTGCTCCGCGGAGAGCATGGTGGAGTACGGGACCTGCATGTGCCTGGTCAAGGGCCTCTTCTACCACTGCTCCAACGACGACGAGGGGGATTCTTGCTCAGACCACCCGTGCTCCTGCTCACAGTCACACTGCTGCTCCAGGTACCTGTGCATGGGAGCCATGTCGCTGTTCCTGCCCTGCCTGCTCTGTTACCCTCCCGCCAAGGGGTGCCTGAAGCTCTGCCGGGGGTGTTACGACTGGGTGCACCGCCCGGGGTGCAGGTGCAAGCACTCCAACACTGTCTACTGTAAGCTGGACAGCTGCACCTCCCGGGCCCAGGGCAAGCCCTCCTGATCTGTGGAGGGCCCTGCACCTCCTGGACCCTGGCTCTCCAGCTGTGGCTGTAGAGGAAGATCCTGTCGGATGCTGAGCTTCTTTTCTTTGAGGTTTCCCTGCTTCCTGCCTTCTGCTCCCCATCCCAAGGTCTGACTCATGGAGTTTACGTTTCTATTGTGGGTGATCTTCAGTGAGAGGAGACGGAGACTGCGCGGACTCCCACCGATGGCAAGAGCCGAGGGCTTCTGGGTAGCCTTTTTCTTCTACAAGTGGCCCTCCAAAGTGGTGCTCCCACACACCCCCGGACTGCAGTGGCCCAGGCTGTCTTTGACTGGCTTCGGTGGGAGCCAGGAGATTGGTTCTGGAGGAGGCAGCTGTCAGGCTGCTGAAGAAGCCGTGTCTCCAGTCTGTCTGCAGTCAGGGGCACCGTCCTAGCATGGGACCGTGAGTAGAAGGGAGGAGCCACTTTTGCCATGACCTGAAAGTTCCCTTTAACCACTGCCCCTCTGCTCCTTGGTTCCCTCCCTCGGTCGGGGGGGTGTTTCCTCCTTTCTGTGGTTTTGGGTTTGCTCCACAGCATGGAGATCCGTCCTGTACTGCCCCATTCCTGCTCCAGCCTCCTGTCTGGAGGGCTCAGCGCCTCCCCCACGCCCATGCTCGTCACCAAATCTCTGTTACTGACAGGGGCTCTTGGTGACAGGCTGATTGCTGGCCCGTCTCTGGGTGTTAAAGAGCTGAACTGCCTGGAGTGGTCTTGGCTCCTGCGTGGTTGCTTCTTTTGGCCCCTCGGGTAGTTAGCAGCTGGGTGATTCTAATCTTTTCTGTGTTTTCATTGCCTTAACCACAAACTGTGGTGCTTTTTGTATATTTTATGTATAAATCACAAAGTTGAATTCTGACTATTTTTAAGACAAAAGTTTGTTAAACTTTTTTATTGTAAAGAATATTTATTATGCGAATCTCTATTATTTTATGATATTTATTGCAAAAGACTGTTGAAATGTACTCCTGTCTGAATATAACAAAATATCAATACTTAATGGAAAAAAATAAAGTGACACGAAGAAAGTACATATGTTAACTACAATGCAGAAAATATATTAATTAATAACTGTCTCTCGATGCCTTCATTTATTAGCCTATACTGTTATGGTGCTTTTATTATTTGCTTTGATTCTTTTTCACATATATTCATTTTACTTCTTTCCCTTGAGCTATTGAATCTGGATGCAGGTGACCTCAAATTATAAGCTTGATGTTTCCTGCAAAGTACATCAGTCAAAATCTTGTAATGCAAGTTCTGTTTCAGCAAGTGCACAAATGAATCACTTTATTAAGTAAAAATTTTTTTGTAATATTAATAGTACCTCCCTACTTTGGCTATTTTGTAAGTGTGAGGTTTTGTGTAGTCATAGTTTCTTGAGACGGGGCACTTCTGTGTGTTTTTAAAGTTTATCTTACCTGTCTGGGGTTATTCAGAAATTCGTCAGCAAGACTTAAGGAATCTAGTTCGGTGGACACCCTAGAACCCTGGTACTGTCACTTTACAAAGCACTTAGAAGTTGGAGAGCACCAAAGGAATAATTCACATGGTCAGATGTCTTGAAAACTTTTCTGTTTCCTTTAATTAGTCTTTAATGTGACCTGTTCAGATTGTACTTTATGTGTCATGGAGTAAGAAATCTGGGCCTAAAACTCCACATAGATAAAGTAAATATTCTGATGCCTTCTGGCTTTTAGTCTGATTAAAACCACTGGCACCCGACTAGCCTGCCAGGAGTCTATGCTGAGCCTCCTGGGTCTGATGAAATTCTTGATCACGTGAGTCCCCACTCTCAGTCCCACCTTTTCCCTGTGGCTAAACAATATCATCCGTGATTGTCTGCATTTGAGAATTAGATGCTGACACAATCTGAACCCACGTGACCAAAGCCCTTGTCCAGGTGGTGTCTGGTGGTCACTGACGGATGTGCTGCTGCTTAGGAGTGTGTGCTCCACCGACAGGCCTTGGCTTTACGGGTACAGACAGTGCAATTGGTAGAAACTTGCCTTCAAGCTTCTCCATCAAGCCATGACCCTATCAGTTGGTAATGTGACATCTATCAAATATTTCCTCTGTGCTGCAAGCAGAACATTTCAAAATGAATACTCGTGTTGCAGAGCTGCTTTGCCATCTCTGCTGTTTCAGAATGTGGGCTTAATTTTCCGTACACATCTTGTGATGTCATCGTGGTCTCAGTGCTCACAGTATTTCCTTCAGATTTGGCTCCTAATGAAGTATATAAACGGCCTCCCTCAAAATGCGATGTGGTTTTGGTGTTATTATTCAGACATTGGTGTAGTTAGGAGCTGGTGTAAGAGCTGTGTGTCTCCGTCATAACCAGGCTAAGAGCGGCACGTGGTGTGACCTCGGAGAGGGAGCTGTGCTGCAGGCTGCAGCTTCTGGCTGGGTGAGCTCATGGGGTTCAGAGGTGGTCGCTGCCCCAGGGCTCAGCGTGGACTCCTGGCAGGCTAGTCGGATGCCAGAGCATGAACGCCTGACTCCAGACTCCTCCTTGTTTAGACCTGGGGTGTCGGGCGTGTCCCGAGAACTGAGTCCTGCTCTGAACCTGCTACCGGCCATTGCTCCAAAGTGCTCAGGCTTTGAGAGGGCCAGGCTCTCTGGCCGTGCCTCTGCCCCCACTGGGGCTGCTAGATGAAGAGTGACACATGGAGCATCTGGGTGGCCTTCTTACTCCAGTTGCTCCTTCGCAGCTCCTGCCGCCCGACAGTGATGTTTTGGATAAGTGGTGCTATTCCAGTGTGTTTCCTTACTACTGGTGACTTTTCATTTTGAAGAAGCCTTACTTATGTAGATAATCTAATTGTGAATGAGACCGGAACAGTATTTCTCTAGTTGGGTAGTTGCCAGATAACAGAGTTTATAAAATGTGACCTAGCAGGAAACTGGAATGCGACACAGTGGACGTGTTTGTTTTGTGACGTGCTGAGATGAATCTTTAAATAGAATCTGTTACAATTATCTCATGGTTTTCAAAATGCAAATCATACAACTTTCCAGTTACTACCCAAAGACAAAACCCCCAAATGGTGGTCTTTAAAGTGAAAACTTTACCCTCAAATTGATAATGAACCAAACTAAGAGGATTCATTTCCAGAGGATTGGAAGAATTGAAATGACTTCCTCTTCCTAAATCTTTCCTTTTCTTAATAGAGTCCTACGTTTCATGGCCGACTTTATGTATAGCTTTTTATACACAAACACAATCCCCTTTTGAAGAGTATTGAAATATTGAATCCAACAGAAAAGAGTGGGCAGCCAGTTCTCTTCCGTCCTCCCGAGAGCTGGGTGTGGTCAGTGGCGGTGCCTGGCCCAGCGGGCTCCAGGCCCAGCTCTGAAAACAAATGCGACCCAATCCCCAATCCCCGGGGGTTTTGTTTTTGTTTTTTTCTAATTGGAAGAGTCAGGTGTTTGAAAACAAAACTCAAAATTCTCCTGCCCACCTGATAGAAGCCTGTTTTCCTCACTATTCCACTGATGAGATGATCTCACAGCCGCGTGCTCGCCCGACAGGTGCTGGCTCTGCTCACTTTCACTGAGAATGCTGCCGGGCCATCTTGCTGCCCTTATCCAGGGCCTTCTAGGCGTGCTGTTCTCCGTGTTGCACAATCTAGAGCTAGAGACACCTCGGAGGGTGCCTTCGTGTTCCTCGGCTGTGTATGAAGGCAGATAGGTCGTTCATTCACAAGCCCGGGGAAAATCCACAGGGGAGGGGGCTGGTATCTTTTCAATACTTTCAAAAAGTTTTTTTGGGTGATTTTATCAGGCAATTTTGGAATGGATTCATTCAGTCCGATACCTTCCTTTGGAGAATGTGAAACAAAGGCACTGCCCGAGAAGACGGGGCCAGGCTCCTCCACCTGACGCAGCCCCCCCCCCCCCCCCCCCCGCTCAGGGCCTCAGCATGCTGTTCTCCAGCAGGAAACCTCTGATAGTTGGTAATGTTTTGGCCCGAATCCAGACGATGGGGTGTTGCTGTACATGGTTGCACCTAGGTATCCCAAATAAGCCGAAATGACTTCATTGCTGTGATTATCTTTACTGGTGAAAAGTGACACTTGGTTCGAGGGCTGAGCCCGCCGGCTTCCTCTGTGCAGGCTGGGAGGGAGGGAGGGAGGGAGCACACTGGTGTGAGCCTTCTGTGAAAGGGGCCGTAGCCTGGCCTCTGACTTAAGGCCTCTGGTGACTGGTTCTCGCCATCTTTCGGACTGCTTTAGGGGGATGGTGATTAGAAGTCACTGTTGAGTCTTCATTATGGAAAAGACTGATGTGATCTGTCAGATAATATCACCCTGGATACATCCAAGGGGAGCCTAGAACTGTTGTGAACTGAGCACTTCCGCAGACCATTCTGGAAATGCCATTCTCCAGCAGTCGGAGAGCTTATGGTGGTGAAAGAGTAATAGAATCATGATTTTGCATACAAAGAAACTTAGAGTCTTCTAATCTAGTCTTTCCATTTCAGGGATGAGAAATCCAAATTCAAAGAGGTTACTTGCCTGAAGTCATGATCTAGTTGCCAAAATAAAGTGAACTTTATTAAACAAACCCACAAACAACTTGCTCCACACACACGTGGTAAATGGCCAGAAGGAAAGAGGGGTTGGCTGCGGTGAATGAAGGGTTTTGGTGGTTTTTGAGGGGCAGAGGGATGGGGGTACTGGGGTTTGAACCCAGGGGCACTTTGCCACTGAGCTACACCCCCAGCCCTTTTTTGTGTGTGTGGTGCCAGGGCCTTATCATGTGCAGCAAGCACACCACCAACTGAGCCCCCCTCCCCTTTTTTAAACATCAGAAACAGGGCCTTACGAAGTTACTCAGGCTGGCCTCCCACTTGCCACCCTCCTGCCTCAGCCTCCCGAGTCACTGGGGTTACAGGGGTGCACCACCGTGCCCAGCGGGGTTGAACAATTTTCAGGTTCATTTACATGTGTGACAGTGGAACAAATCTGTTCAGGGTGAGTTGATGGCAGTCCACGAGAGAAAGAAAAACTTGGTATGCATTTGCCTGGAATTCCTGAGCCCTGAGTCCAATCGCTAGCACACCAAAAATAAAAATAAAAATAAAAAAGGAAAGAAAGAAAGATAACCAGGAGTGCTTTGAGAAAACCGAGTTCCAGCTGGCCGCATGGTTCTCCGCCTAAGCTGTTCTGCA